CCCCCCGTGACCGTCGCCGTTCACCCCTCGCCAGGAGGTCTTCAATTTGGGCAAGCTGGGCGTCGCGGCTGGCATTCGGCGGGGACGGGTCGCATGGGACCGGAAGAAGGACATGAATGGACATGAAATACACTCACCAGGACCTTCCCAGTGACCTCTTCAGGATTGGTATACGTGACCTGAAATCAAGGCCTAAGTGGCCTCATTCTGGGATCTCAAAAGGTCACTGGGAAGGTCCTGGCACTGGAACTTTCATGGAAGTGGAAAACCACCTGTTTGTAGTGGAAAATGATGGAAACTGGTTCGGGGCCATTCTCCACTTCCATGTTAGTTCCAGGGAGTGTAGAACGCTCCACGGCGAGGCGTTTGTTGGGGCGTAATTTGGGCGTTAGGGCGTGTTGTTCACGCCTGGCGAGGCCAGCAGGTCTTTACACGGCACATTCTTCAAGCCAACACGGACTGCTCAAGTGATTCACCAGCAGACACCCATGTCCAGCGCAAACGAAGACAAAAACAGAAAGACTCAAGGTCGAGAGGCGGCCATCCACAGTCCCCACGGTCCCGACCGTCTTGGCCACCTCACGCCAACGCACGGCTGCGCGAAGCGTGACGAGGCTTCAACGAGCAGTTCCGCACGCTGAGCGTGGATGTGACCGAGGCGGCCACTCGCAGTGAAAGGTCCGGGCGGCCACGGCCCTGGGCAGCCGGCGCGTGTCTTGTGGGTCGACGTCGCGGGCGGTTTGCAGGAAACAGAAGTGCTCCAGATACAAAGGACAGAGGAGGGCCGTTTTGGTTGAACGTTGTCTTCTTTGTGGATGGTTTGATCAACCTCCCCAAGGTTGGATTGATTGGTCGTGGCCCAGGGGCGTTCCAACGGCTCTTCACCGCAGCTGTTCGTCTTCTTTTCGCGAAACCGTTCCGAAACCGTTGAGGTGTTCAACCTGTACCTGGGATGATTTTGTTAACCGAGTTAATATGGTTCAAGCGAATTAAAAACCACCAACCAGGTGAAGATTCATGGAAAGAGTGAAGATTGATGTTTCAAGTTTCAACACACAAGAAAGCCACACCTGGTGTGTGTAGACTCACACCCTCTTCCCCAGCATACGCCTTGGTTTGACTTCACTTCACCCCGTCCCAGGGGCGCCCCAAAACTCATGGAATCCTGACCACTCGGCGCCACCACGGCGGTCGTCGCCCAGGATGAGGTCAACTTCGGTCAGTCGGGCAGCTGCTCGGCCGAAGGGTCGGCCGAAGGGTCTCGCGTTCGGAGAGTCTCCGGGAGACCGGCGAAGCAGGGCTGAGACCGGCGCTTGAAGCAGCTGCCAGGGATGTTTGGTTGACGTGCCAGGACCTGGCAGAAGCTAGATCTCATGTTGATCTTATTTTTGCCAATATGATTTATCACGAAAGCTAGCCTTAGCTAGCTGGAGTTGCTCTTGCTTTAGCAAGTTAAGTGACGGGGTGGACGCACCTCAGAAACCTCAAATAATTGATTAAATCAATCTTATGGACCCCCCCCCCCGCGGTTCGACTCCCCCCTGCGCGCGGTGAGCGGGACCACCAAGCAGCTGCAGCACACCAAGCATCTGCAGCGCCCAGCGCAGCAGCGGCAGCAGCAGCAGCAGCACCAGCAGCAGCAGCAGACCACCCAGCGGCGGCAGCAGCAGCAGCAGCATACCCAACGCCGCGGCAGCAGCAGCCGCAGCAGACCACCCAGCGCCAGCAGCAGCAGCAGCAGCAGACGACCCGGCGCCTGCAGAGCACCCAGCGCAGCAGCGCCCAGCGCAGCAGCGGCAGCAGCAGCACCAGCAGCAGCAGCACCAGCAGCAGACCACCGGAAGCCCGGCTAGCTTTCGTTCACCCCCTCTGGCCTCAAGTTCAAGATATCTAGGTGATAAGGGACCTGGACTGTTTCGGGTGCCAATCTTGGACCGCCTCATGCTGCCATATGCCGCCGATGTGCGTGGCTCAGGAGCCGGGTACATCCAACAACACATCCACCGTCGGCTGCACACCCGCGCGGCACAGCTCAACGACAAGGAGAGCGCGGTGTGCCCCTGCCGGTGCGCGGTGGAACCGCGGAACACGAACTGCCGTGGCTCCGAGGCTTGGAGCCACGGCATCCCAGCACTCAAGCGGCAGAAAGGACCTTTGTTACCATCGAGCAAAGAAGAATCTTTGTTACTATAGTAGCTTCTTGAGATGCTACGGTCGTAGCGACTGCTCTTGTTACTGGTCGAATGTGTTCTTGGTCATCCAAAGGTTCTTGGTCAAGACGACCAGGTCATCCGAGGTTCTTCGTTCACCGACACAGCGGGTCGGATCACCTGGTAGGTCTACCAGGTCGAACCGAATCGGAAGCAGTCAGAAAGTGAGCCGAGATGTCCGGTGTTGGTGCTGCAGATGTCCAAGGCCTCAACAAAAGCGGGTTGGAGTTGAAGGAAGCTTTCCGAAAGCAGCCTGGTCAGACTGCTGAGTAGCTGAGAAAGCACCCATTCCGCACATGTGCATACCTTCTGAGAGGGAGAGCAGTTGTCCACGGACATAGGCTGAATAAAATGCTTGGTTGGGTGTGAGTAGCTGCCCGAAAGGTGCGGGTCCGCTTGGGTATGCGCTGAGTAGACTGTCAATGGTCCGCTGCTTGTGGACGGAGATCCATCCAACGACTTGATCATGTTTGTCATCAGAGGTGAAGGATGTGAATGGGGAGTCCAAGTAACCTTCACGGACAAACAGGATTTGGGGTTGACCAAAAGAAGCGTGGTTGGTGGCGGATTGGCCAAAGTGCACCTAGCTGGTGAACGAACGAAGGTGAACAAGGTTCGCTACGTTCGGGGTGCTCCTGGCATCGCTACTGGGAACAAGAACGCTACGAACGGGGCTCCTGGCCTTACTACTAGGAGCAAGAAGCTATTAGGAACAAGAAGCCACATCTGAGTCTCCAGGACTTGCTGGACTTGGGGAAGCTCTCCTTCAACGAGCAGTTCGTCGTACTTCAACAACCAGGCCCGGCCATCCGGTTCCGGCTCCACGTGCGCTGGAGTCCGGTTGGACCACTGGTCACGGTCAGAAAGCCTAGTGTCCCCAATCACCACTTCCACCATACGGGCCTTCAATTACTCGTAGCTTGTTTGCGAAGCGTCTCGCCTCGCGAAGCCGCAAGCTTTTTGGGAGAGTCTTTCGAGCGACTATAACGAAGCGACTAAGTCTCTAAGCAAAGGACCCGACAACAAGAGCACTTGGGACAGACTCTCACGAGGAAAATCTTGGATTCCCCAGGACCGCTATTAGGTTGGAGGTCATCGTTAGGTTGGATGCCATCGCCCCAGGACTCGTAACATCTCTTGAGGCTCGTTCTGTCCGCAAAACTAGCGCTTCTTGGAGACGAACCGAGAGAAGGAATTGCCGTGCAAATGCCCATGTGTTGTTTGCCAGTCACTAGCTATATAGACATTACACACCTGTGCCTTCGACTGCCTGTTCTTTGTCGAAGAGAAGGGACTGCAGCCGTGGACACAACTTTAGCTCTACTAGGACCCACAAGGGGTGGTGAATGGACACCCCTTAACCTCTAAGGGGCTATCGTCACCCCTTAGGGTGTCCTGGTACAGACTCCATACCAATCGACCCGTTCGTACCTCAGAACCGGACTCTCTCTCTCGTACCTGTTTTCGTTCGGGGTCAGACGTCCCGGTACTGGGTCAGGTACGGCACGTCCCGGAGTCAGTTGGAGGCCATCCGGCCACCAACCGAACCGCAGAGACCGGCAGGACGTCCTTCTCCTCGATCGCTTACGCAGGACCAAGAGAAGAAGAGCAATATAGCCTCTTCGGCGACCTGGGCCGTGAGAGCTACGTGCAACAACGGATCCATAGGACTCCGGCGGGGCCTGGAATCGCCAGCGGGGCGGTGGAATCGGGGTCCTCCGGTCCGGGTCATGAAGGTTGGATGTAGTGATTAGTGATTCTTCCGGAGCCGCTGAGAACCTGAACCCACCCGCCGTAACTTGTGAACCTTTGGAAAAAGCATGTCCTTTTTCCTTGCTGTCGCTGCGAAAGAGATGGTGGGTTTGGTTCGGCCGAACAGCCTCGTCGGTTTTGGGGCAGAAAGGGTGTTCAGCCAGAACTCTCCCTTTGGAGATCTGCACCCCGGTCAAGCACCGCAGGGGCGGAAGTGGCCATTCTCCTTCTTCTCGGACCCAAAAACGATGCCTTTTCCCAGCTCAATGGTTCTACAGCCGTTTTCGCGCAGCTGTCAGTGACGGGCAAACGAAGAAGTCGATCAGACATGGCGAAAGTGATGAAACAATGGCCTTGATGGATTCGTGGAGTCGTGGGGGGTCGGTCATTCAGATGGTCGCATCCTTGACGACTTGCAGAATAAGATCCTCTGATTCATCCAAGCCTAAGAGATCTGAACAAGCATCAACAACCCAATCCACAGTTGGGACGATCTCCAACTGTTCTGCGGGTGGATGGTATCTGGAAAGGATGTTTGAGTTGCTTTTGTGGCAGATCGAGCCAAAAGTCTAGGTTTTTGAGGTAGTACGGGTGGGTGTGGGTTGCCCATATTTCGACTGAGCCTTTGCTTCCAAAACAGGACCATGAACGAGAAGGTCTCACTTTTGAGACTGAACGACCAGCCACCTGTTTGTCACCTCTGACAAAAGGCACAGTCACCCAGCCACGTGTTTCCTTCGCCACGTCCATCCACTTCCCCAAAACATCTCCTCCTTCGCCGAAGCCGAGCGAAGTGCCGGTCCAGGATGCTGCACAGCCAAGTGGCCCAGCTCTCGGACGCGGATCTGCACCGCTTGGGCACCTTGAGCTTCAATGAGCAGCAGCTGAACTGCAAGGAGAGAACCGGTAGGGTACCGGTAGGTGGCTGCTGAAATTTCACCATACCTGCGGCATGTACACATGTACAGAAGCGGCTACCTGCTCGACTCAAGCGAGGAAAACCAGAAATCCCAGAAGGGCTGGTCCTGTACAACTACAGAAGGAGAGTTCTATATAGTTCTATTGGGCCATCGGTTGGTTGAAGAGAAATATTATGATAAATCTCATTTTGTAAGAGAATCTGCAGCAGGTGTTTGTTGGCAGAAACACCGTTGAATGGAGAAGAGCTACATGTTGGAGTCGATATGTAAAAATGGTTTCCAAGACAGCTTTTGTTGTGCAGAATCACTGGGTCCAAGACATGAAGTGTTTGATGTGCGAAGTCGAATGTCCGGACCGGACGGGGGCATGGCATCAAACGTGCCTTTGGAGTGTGAACGTGCACGTCTTATCCATCAAAAGTGGACAACCTTTAACATGTTTTAAGATTTTTGGGGGGATTTGGTTTCTTAAGAATGAAGATTTTTTGCACAAATTTTCCAGACTTTGGGGCAGAAGATTTTACGAAAAGGAATGAAAGCAGGGAACCTTTGCGTCGCAGATCTTGGCCTCCCTCCCGCGTGCCTTGCTTTTCAGATTCCGAGTTGAGATCCTTTTTGCAAGTGTCCTTCTGGAAGGGGGTGAAGTCGAACCCTGAAGACTTGGTTTTTTTCCGCTGGACACTTGTGGTCATGCCATTTCGCTTTGGGTCCTTTTGTTGCGGTCTCTTTGTCTCTTTGATTCATGTTTCCACTACCCAATCTGAGTTTTGTTAATACCATCTTTTCTTTTGTGTGGCAATCCCAAGATGCAAAGTTTGGTGGACACTTCCGGTGGACACTTCCGCTACGTCCCGTAGCTTCTGGTTTCCGTTCCGGCTTCGTGCTGAGGTTCACGACGCTTGGACGGCCGGGGCCCAAGGAGATGGACGCGCAGAAAGCCAGGCGCCCGCGGCGCAGAAAGAGCGGGACGGAGCCGGGTTGCGCGCGGCGGGGGGGTGGGCAGTTGGAGCCTTGATGTGAGATGGAGCTGGGTGTGCCTCGAGCTTCCATTCGAAGATGTGCAGCCCTCACAAGTGAGGGGTTCTCCAAGAACCAGTGGCAAGCTTCCCGAAGCAAAATTGTCGCAGGTTTGGATATGAACACTGAAGGAGGTGCCTCTGGAGTGAGAAAGTGCATCTGATGTTCACCCAACAAGAGTGGATAACTGTATAGCCTTTTGGAGGGATTGGTTTTCCCTCTAAACATCGACGGGAGAGTTTGTAGCGATGCCTTCGCCGGAAGAGGCATGAGTGATAGAACAGGTGGAAAATGGTTAGCCTGGACACACAGCCACTTCAGAACTCCATGTTTTAGACTCTTCAGAGATGTTCCACCAATGCACAAGATCATCTGATCACCCGGAGGTTCAGACGTTGGGAAACGAGGTTCAGATGCCCGTCAGACTTAATACTTGATCCCTGCATGGCCAGGCTGCAAGAAGACATGAACTCATACCAACTCCCTTGTTGCTAGGCTGTGCTTGTCTCAAGCCCTGATGGCGATAAGAATTCAGGCATGACACCCTGGACGCTACTACCGTAGATGGACGAAATATTCAAACCCTGTCAACCACGAGGACCC